AAAAAATTCAAAGTAACCTTATCCTGACCTTGATGACACCTCTCAGAGTCAAACCAATGTTATCATCTTATGTCCCTCTCAAAGCCATACAACTTTTGTCTGAAACATTTTTTTCTAAGATCAAAAATAAAAAAGTTATTTTGGGTGGGACATTAAAATAAGACATCCTGTATAGAATTACAAAGAAACTTAACTTGACTGAATTACTTTATTATTAATGAATATTCATTTTTTGTGTTATTATTCAACTGATTGGATTTGATTCTTTATTCTTGATCCTATAAATATCTAAAATGTGACTTCCAAGACATAATCAATGTGCAAGTTAATGTTGTTAATTTCTAAATTAATTGAAATTGATTGAATGGTCATGAAGAGCAAAAACAGAAAAAAAGTAAAAAAGAAATTTAAATGGCATTGTAGTATATACATGTAGTATAAACTATTATAGTATATATAAACTGTTATAGTATATATAAACAGTCTCAACTAGCGCATGCGCACTGTGTTTTTGGCTTCATATAATGAAAAGAGTTTCGCTACTGTATATTGTAGCATCATTGCCTGTTACTAGCTTTGTTGCCATAGCGACTTGTCAGTCAACATTGGAAATCAGTCAGTAACGCTATCAGTTGTGAGTGAAAAGGTCTTTAAGAAAATTTGGGCTGTATAATATCAGCTAAAAGTTGAAAACCACAAAAAAAAACAACATACAACAAATTTTGGAATGCACCTTGAAACCAACTGCAAAAAAACAAAACAAATAATTTGGCTTATGCAGCACAACGATCATATTTTGTTGCAGTTTTAAATAGCTTTACTTAACAAGTAAGTAAATATAAATGAACTTTTGTACGAATATTTATTAAAATTTTATTAGCATATGTAAACAATTTGATTTAATTTAATACTACTTTTTCATTATATTTGTAAATACATATTACAAAAAGTGATTTTACATAAAAATTATAAATAAAAACGCAGACAAAAAATCAAAAACTTTTAAATTTGTAACAGAACTTTGCTTAAATTTTGTATAGATATTTAGACATATATAATCACAAAACAATCTATAAAAGATGTACATTTTTGATATTGTTTTGTGATGTTGCACATATATCCTTAAACATTTTGATTATAAATCTTATTTTATTTTATTTTATTAAATTAAATTTTTAATGAAAATTTTGTCCTGCTAAAAATTATATTCAATATTATATTAGTACACTTATATTTTACACAAAATATAATATATTATCATATATTTCGCGCACACAAAAAATTTTAAAGTAAACGATTTCAATGTTCTTCAATATATATTTCTTTGATAATTTAATGTTAATTAAAAAAATAAAAATATTGCTTGACTATTTTACTCGATTATTTGTATAACTTCTAGTAAATAAAAATCAATAATCAATAAAATCAATAAAAAGAATTCTGTTATTGAATATAATCTCTAACATTCTTATGCAAATTATGATAAATTTTATTAAGATAAAAATAAAAAGAATAAAAAGAATATATAGAACTCCCGCTTATTAAAACAAAAATAACTTAAGATTAAGGGGCTATGGGAGTTAGTGCGGTAAACAGTGTGCAAATTAACAACTTAATTATCTAAAAAAATATTTAATGAGATATGTAGAAATTGTACAATAAAATACTTGAACGTTTCGAGTAATATTCCAGCCATCCCAGCGAATACAGAAAAAAATTTTTAAATACTTTGGTTTGTTAACAAAAATTATATAATAAAATATTGGAATTAAAACATATAATTACGAATTGGGACTCAAACGATGTATAATGTCCAAAACCAGTTGAAAAGCCAGGTGGATGGTAATGCGTTTCTTAAAAGTACTAGCACTACAGACGCGCGCTTCGCGCGCGCTATTTTTCAGCACTTTTATTTTTTACTATAATTCATTTAATTATACATTAACTTCAATACATACAACTGTCAAAAGTCAATGCAATGACAGCCGCTCACGAAGTTAGCACAGCGAGAGAACCAATCAGCGTCGCGGAAAAGAGCAACAATAATTTCGAGAACAACGATACATTTCGAGTTAAGTCGAACTGTATGTTGCCTTTTTTTAGATAGGAACATAATACTTGTAAAAGAAACCGTACAAACAAAAGAATTTCAAAAGTTTGACATATTTATAAGTTGCCAATGATAGATAAACATGGTTAAGGAGCTCAGTGTCAGTTTGTAAATTAAGACTATTTTTGACTTTTTTGATTTTTTATGTGTATCTCCATCTAATGGCTAATAAGCCATTTATTATAATATTTTACTATTTGGGTTTTGTTATTGCGGAACATAAGTTGCATCACAATCATGAGTTTGATTGGGATCGAGTGGAAATTCTGGATAGTGAAAGATATTATGACAAAATTATAACGGCTTATATCGGGGAGATGTTACACATAAAAAGTCATAAAATCTTAATTTGCAAACTGACAACTCCTTGCTCAGTATCTTCTCTATCCCCAATATTCTAAATAAATATATTAAACGGAAGAAGGACGTTTATGTTAAATCGTTTGTCGCAACAAGGCGTTGTATATAAAATACATAGTATGCCGTGACTGCGATGCCTTACATAGGGCAGACTAAACGACAACTCAAAATCAGAATTAAAGAGCATCGTGTGGATATTAATAAAAAATTAAGTTCATTGTCAATTATTTCTGAGCATTGTGTCATACTCAATCATGAACTTAATTGGACAGATGTTAAGATATTGTTGATAATGAACCGTCATATATAAAAAAGATAATTTCTGAAAAGGTCCATATTAATAGACAACAGCACGATTTTAACAAGCAGAGTGATACAGAATAACTTTCTGACGCATATCTTCCGATTTTGCAAGCATTGCCCTCACATTGATTTTTTTCTCTCCTCTTCCTTTTCCTTCTCCTTTTCTACTTCGTTATTTCCCTTCTTTTCTTTCCTTTCCTTCATGGCTTATAGATGTCCTATCGGTAGAAAGCGTTCACATTATATATCATTTGAAGTTCATAATTAAAGACTTATAGATGCAAAACTGTGTCATGAACTATAAAGATGTTAATTTTATTCTTCGAACGATACGGCTTTCTTGATTCAGGTATTATACTTTTTATTATAATATTTTAGCATTTTAGTTCTTTCTTTAGCATATTCGACATTTAGTCATTTTGACCATCACATGTTGGTTTAAATTTTATTCCAGCTTTTCTACAATGTTACGAACGCAAACTTTAATAATGACATTAATGACATTATTCGCTCTTGTCTCCGTTTCAAATTTGGAGGGACCGTACGTTCCGTCTAATACTTCACGATGCTCTTCAAAGATTTGCGCCTGAATATTCGATTTTAAATGATATTTATTATTTAATGACATTTAACACTATACATTTATATTTTACTGTTTTCAAATTTATATGTATTAATTTTTATTGGTTTTAACATTGAGAATGACCTAATGCGGGTCGTTTGTTTTGATCATATATTTTATGTAAATTGACTTATTATTTGAGCATTAAATATCTAGCTCAGGCTCGTAGCCCATATTTTATTTATTAAAGAGAAAGATTCGTGCTTTATGATGTTACAAACGGCTTCAAGAAAAATTTTAGCAAGTCCGTGCATTCCGTCAAATTTTGCAATTTTCAATATGGCAAACATGCTCTCTGATTTAAGAGTTTACAGTAATAAGAGTGTATTAAACTTAAAATCGATAAATAATACCTTGATGTAAAGATTTCAAATTTTAATTTTAAAAAAATTCATGATTCTACGATAATTTTTCACGATATTATGAGCCAGAGTTGGCCAATTTTTGCCCAAAATTTTTCTATGCCATAATTTTTTTGAGCAGTGTATATTAAAATTATTTTTACATGTTTTTGCTTTTTTAATATTCGACTATCGAAAAATAAAATGCTATAAAAAACAATTTGGATATGCCGTTGAAAAACTAGATGTATGAAGTTGGCACTCCTAAATACGAATTTTGACAAAATCTATATGGCATTAGATTGTGAACAATTTGTTTTTAAAAACTTTATTGTGATCTTCAAATAATCTTTACTCATAAAGAAATTATATTGTTAACTATGATCATATTGTTAACTATATTACCCTCTATAATGTTAACTATAAACCCTCTAAAATACTAGATTTTTTTATATAAACAACATTTTTTATATTATGTGAGTTTGTGTATGTATTTAGAATTGCAACACTATATATCTTCCTATATACGTTCCTTTTCTGCCTTTCTCTTTTTAGGCGTTTCTGTACACTTAATAAGCAGTATCACACACACAACATTTTTCAATTTTTACGCTTTATGTTTTTAATATCATTAACTACCAGATATGGTGGAATAGCTGTGAAATGAATTTATTATTAGATTTTACATTTTAATATAAAAAACAAGAAAAAGTTTTAAAGTATTTAAATAAATAGAAATAATAAAATAGAAAGTCAATAATTACATCAATAATTAAAATATTAAAAAATATAAAAATTATTTTAATTTAAATTTCAATTTTTTTTATTTTGAAATCATAAAATACTGCAAAAATTTTTTATATTTATATACAGAAAATATGTTTAAAAGTATTATATATATTTGTATAAAAGTATAAGTATACATATTATATTTCATTATTTATTATTTTATTTATAATTAGAATCAAGATATAGGTATCAGGATAGATCGAGAAATGTTACAAACATTTAAGATAAGAAAACGCCAATATGATCAAAGTGGATTAATTATTTTAAATATTATTTATTATTGATGATACAAATATTATTATTACTTATTATTATTATTATTGTTATTATTTTACCTGAATTTTGCATCTTTCCAATAACTTTTATTTACTTTATTTCCTTTATAAAGATTTAATCTTGAATATAAAAAAAATATTTTAGATAAAGTATTGTTTCATCTGACATGTTTAGCATTTTGTTTCGTGTAAGATGAGTCAAAGAAGAATTATTTTATTTTCTATGCTGTAGACTTTTTTAAATAGATACTTATACGTTATCTTTTCTAAAAAATTAATTACTATTTATTTTTTGAAGCAGTTCATATACATAATTTTAAATTATTAATTAATATTAATTATGTGACATCTCAAAAAGATGTCCTTATAAGAAAAAAAATCTAAAAAATGTATTTATAAGCATTACAAAGTTGTTTATAAGTATTAAAGCAACTATATTTCAATTTGCTAATGCAAATTCATTAAGGTCTTTTTTGTTTTCAGTTACAGAATATATTTGTACATTATTTTAAAACATTATCGTAAAAATATCTTTTGTTCTTTAAAAACTTGAAGAAATTAAAATTTTAATAAACTATTTTTTTGCAATAGATTTGTAAATAAGTATTCTTTTATCAAAATTGTAAATAAATTATGTATCTTAAACAACTAATTATTATATTTTATATATTTTACAAGTTGCAACATGATTTTATGGAATGGCCGAGTTGCATATAATTGGACAAGTTTCATCCGCAAAAAGTTTTAAACAATCACATCTATTCTGCAAATGGAATTTTTACGTTGGTAGGAGAAATAAGCTCGTATTTATAAATGAAATAGCTTTGTCATATATCAATACATTTTTGTTTTTATTATAGGTAATGGTTGGAAAATTATATCAGGGCGTGAAGAAGGACAAACGCAAGAAAGTTGTGATCTTTATACTAATAATCCGGTTTGGGATCATCCTATAGATTTGCATTATACAACTCAGACTTTACAAAATTCTCCGAAATTATTACTACAAGTGTTTTGCAGAGATAATTACGGAAGAATAATATTTCTTTCATATGGAGTATACAATGTTCCATTATCACCTGGTTCTTACGTTTTAAATTGTCATACATGGAAACCTATTGGTACATGCACTATAAGTATATCAAACTTTATAAAAATTTATAACATATTTTGTAGTAAAATTTATTATTCTCTAAATAAACTTTTATACAGGTACTTGGAAAGATAGACTATGTGATAAATTCCTAGGAAAAAGTTTACAACTAAAATCACCTAATGTTTTAATCAATACATTAGATAGATTTGAAATACTAACACAAAGTATGGGAACAGTGATTGTTCACTTACATGTCTTGACAAGAAATTTTGAGAAATTTGGATGTCAGATGTGAACAAATAATTGTAAAAGCAATGGAAATTGCATAAGACATCTTCAATTAGAAAATTGTAGCAAAGAAATCTAATTTCGAACAAATTTGTGTCAATATATTATATAAACAATATCGATAATTTACAACAATGTTTTTTCCTCTTTTGCTATTTCTAGCATGTATTAATATGGTAGAAATAACAAAAATTGAAGATATATCAATCTGCACAAATGATACAGATTGCAGTGAAACAATAGACTCAACCGTATATACACAGAATCCTGAAGTTGATGATCCATCTATAAAAGATTTATCAAATGAGACAGAAGAGGATAATATATTTACTACTACTGTTCCTACAGAAATAATATCTTCAAGAATAAATGCTAATGTAATAGAACAACCAGAACTGCCAACTTTAACAACAATATCCTCACCAGTACATCCAAGTGATAAAATTCTTACACTGGAAGAAAAAGAGATATGCGAATGTGACTTAATTGTACGTGCAAGTATCATATTTTTTTATATAAAATATTGAATATTGTTAAATAAAAGAAAGAATGAAAATTTAATATTTAAATAATATTGTGATTAAATGGATCAATATTTAATTTTTATAATATATATACAGGGTGTCCCAGAACTAACGTACCTACAGGTACCAGCGTAAAATTGTAGAACATGAAATTGTAGAACGAAAAGTTCTTTACCAAAACGCGATTCGATGAATAGAATTTGAACGGTGAGCAGATCGGAAGAGCACACG